TTACTTTCGTCCGTAAATATAGTTTCTTTCCAAAAATCAAAATCTTTGTATATATATTCTCTTGCGAAATCTAGTCTCTTTCTTCTATTCTTCTCGTTTATAAGAGGCTTATTCCGAGCTGTACGACCGTGAAAATTATGTTTTCTGAGTTTTTAAGTCATGTGTAGCGATTAGATAAATTTTATAGTTAATGGTAGGTAAAAATCGTGGTTTGCAAATAAATACAGCCGAATTCTAGCCAAATAGTACCACATAGTCTACTCTACGTGGCGCCACCAAATCAGCTATGTGGTGTGCCTCTTTATTCAATATATTATTTATTTACAATGTTCACTAAATTATAACGTTGAAATATTTTATCGACCAACTTCTATGACAGCTTGTTTCTAACTCACTATTTACAAAAAAAATATCACGGATATCAACAAAAGAATTTAAAATGTATAGTTACGCGATTTCTAATAACAAACAGAAATTGACTTTATCTACAAGTAGAAACCGACATTACTAACACATATATCTATTCACTCCCATATATTTTAAGTTCTATTCATCGTTCTTTTGGCGCAGAGCGAAACCTCTGATCTTTTGCAGAGTCGGTAATTCAGAACCTGGGACACGAAGTTCAATATGCTGCTATGTCTATCCTTCTACCTCATCTGTGGTTAAACTGTATCCCTGTTTCGAAATCATTTTTATACTGACACTTGTTTCTGTTTTAATGAAATTACTTAAATATTAACTTCATTAAATCTTTGCAATCATTAGATATTTAAAGTAATGTTAATACTTAACGCTTATTTTCATTTCGTGTGGAAACTAACAATTGTTTATATAGAAACTGTTGATACTTGCATAAATTGTATAGTATGAAATTTAAGATCAGATTCATAGAAAACCGGGCAGACTCAAATTTTGTTCAAACAGTGCAACCAGACACTTCTTTAATTCTTTAGAACGTATGATCTTTTCATTTTTGTTTAGAGCAGTCTATCAGATCAGAATCATTATGTTGACACAAAGAAAACAATATACTAAAATAAATTGAAAAATTATAGTACATTGACAATATATTGTGTATAAGTATTCGTATTTGAATAATAAAGTATTCAGATAAGAAAATTTCGAATAACAGAGATAATACTACACCATAATAGTAGATTTTGTGGAGTGTAAAAGATGTTGATGTATGTTCATTATAACCTAATTTTCTAACAATTAATATAAGTGATGTATACTAATATAATACTAGATATTCTATACTTTCCGTTTAACAGAAATATTTAGTAAACATGATAAAATAGTGTGAAGAACTGGTATGAAAATTATATAAAATATATTTGATATTTTACATTGATAGAGTTGCGAACTACGGAGGTACCTTTACTTGTTTTTATTGATCGACGCCTGTGCAATAAGCGACCTCGACGTATCAACCCTAGCCTATGAGAAGTAATCATCGGTTAATATATCGTTTATGTATCGTTTTCTAACATTTAGAATTTTATCCTTCTCTTCGTCTACATGATCATACAATGTACAGTGTCTGTCTTTATTTATTAAAGACTGAATAAAAAATATTGGAGAGAATAACGAAGATAAAGAGGTCGTTGAAGTCCTGTCAGATGAAACGACAGCAGTATTTGAAGCAATAACAACTTCAATCAATGTAATAATTCTACTTTATTCAAGTAAGATGCATTAAATAGTGAATATGTTAGGATCGTAAATTCATGTTTTAAAATAATTAATAGTTTGCAATCATTTTTTAAGAAAACAATGCATGAACATACATTTTTGTAATATTATTTTTGAATTATTACAACATATGATCTATAATTATAACATTGTAATTGAACTTCATATTTTTAGTAGATATAAAAATTTTGTTTTTTTTATATCTTGTTTTATAGTGTCAAAATATTGTGTCAAATATTTAATACTACTGTGCATCAAATATTAGAATAACATAATGTTACAAACTCATTACATGTATAATGATATAATGGGCATTATATTTTAAATAAATTTTATTTTTATAAGTGCATATATTTGTAATGCGTTGAAGTATGATTTTGAAGTACATATGTGAATGTATACGCATGGACAAAAGGTTTTAATTATTTATAATGAACTATAGATGCTGCAAGTAAAAGCTTTGTATATATTCATGTATTATTCATCTTACATGTATATTATTTCACCAATTAGTATATAGATAAGGCTCACATAGTTTATATTTCTTATGCACTCTCACAAATGCAAAATAAAAATTTTTAGTTAACCGAATAAAATGTATTATGTGTTAATTGTAAGTTGTATTCCAATTAAAGTTCTTTGTCATGTATTGATGTGACTGTATAAAAGAAATAGACACATATACATTTAAAATGTTAATGGAATTCTAATTTTTTAAGGTATATTCAGCAAAATGTAATTATAAATATTAATGTCCCTAAGCAAGATGATAGACTATCACTGCAATACATGTTATCTTGAAAAATCAAGTCTCGAATCAGTATTCATAAACACATCATAAAAATTATCTATTGATGCTTGTTTATTTTCAATGCCATAGAGTTTTGTAGACTAATTTATATTGATAAAAATATGTATTGTATGAAGTATTGTATGAGGTACTAAAGCAAATAGAAATCTTATTAAACTATACAAAACTTTTTGCAATACTAAGTTTTAGATAGTAATATGTGCTGTAATATGCATGACATTTATAGTCTATCAGTAATACAATACTTTCTGATCTTTTATATTTTTTCTGAGAGTATGAAAATTATTGTAGCGGCACATTTATTAAATATAGTACACGATGGAACTTTGTATAAGTATCGTATAAAAAGATAATTATTCATTTTAGAACTTTACTAAAGCATTGGAGTAAAATGCATGTATAGTTTTGACAGCCAGTGAATAGTAAAGAAGGAACAATTGATTAACTTGCACAATCTCTTCATTCAATCCATTATATGTACTTCTGACTACTGACTATAAGAGCATTTAAAATCATATGCTGTGTAAACATAATATAACATGAATATACATACGTATATATATATTTAGTTGTATGAGACAAAATTGCCGTTTTTATAAAATAAAATTAAAGCAATGTATTTTCAAAGTAAGATATGTTACATTTTATTTAATGAAAATATGCATTACGTACTTTTAAACGCATTAATGATCAAGTTTTTCAACATGATCTCAATTAAAATATTTGAATCCTTATAAAAATGAATTATTCGAATGCGGTGATTATCGTTTCTCGCTCATGGAATATTTTATTCTTTAGGAACGATTTTAAATGAAAGAAGAGTTGGTAATTTATCGCACAAAAATTTTGGTGAATATTCTATTGGGTAAAAAAACTATTAATATTGTTAGAGCATAATTTTGAATAAATAAAAAACGGCAACTTTCATGTAATACAACGTGATATGCATATAGGGTAAATTATCTAGAATCTAAAATATCTCCATTATTTTTGATGACACGAGATGATTTTTAATAAAAAAAAAATATTTATTTAAAAAATGAAAATCTTATGACACAAAAGATTTTCTTTTCAAAGTCATATTTTTGGAAACTTTGAGATCATCGAAGTTCGTTACTTTAAATGGGATAACGTAATTTTACTATCGTCCAATTAAAACTAATGGAAGGACAAAAACCATATGAGCAATATTTATAGAAACATAGAAATTGAATCTAGACCTACGAAATCAATAAAAGAACAGAATAAATCATATGAAAATTTATAGCAGAATTTAGGTGATAATGTTAAATCAAACAAAATTACGGAAACGGAAAATAAAGTTTTTTCTAATTGGTGTAAAATCAAACAAATCGTGTAAAAAGAGAAAAATAATTCGAGTAAAAACAGAATTGTGTGTATCAATAAATGTAAGGATTTGTTGTTATTTAGTGTGAATACAGCAAGCCATACTTTTAATAACTTGTCAAATGTCAGCTCTATTTCAATTGATTTAATGATTTCCAATAGGTTGTTATTTAGCAGTGGTTTCCATGCTGAAAACAGCAAACCTACATCGTATACCGATTGTTATTGTAGATTTGTTTTATAACTTTACATATATGTACGTGCATTCCTCTTCTATTTACGTAATTTAACGTAATCCTTTATAAAGTTTAAACCTTTGTACTCGAGAGGCGATTATTAGTTGTTATACGATCCAACATAGTAAAATTATAAAATTTTAAATTCGGTACTCAACTTTACATAAGTTAAAATAATCAAAATTTATAATGAGGAACATTATTGAGGGCAAAGGCTTAATAAATTTTACGACAGTTTTGTGTAAATGTTTACACATGTTCTATAAATCTCATATTTTTCATATATTACTACTTATTAGCATAGACTACTATTTATTAGTATATGCTACTATATCACGACTCATTAATAAAATTAAATGATGAATTATTTGCAAATGATTCATTTGATTTCAGAACAGTATAAAATTATTATACAACTGTTATTTCTAGAATAAAAATAATAAATTCAAATTATATTTCTTTACGTTCATTCCAATCAAAATTTATTTAAGCTTGATCGCAAGTAACGAGTCAATCATATTCACTAGCATCTCGATAAAATAAACAATATTAATTTCATATAGATAACGCAAAGACATTAATTATTTTTCAGGAGTCTCTGATAAACAACGGTCACCATGCAGCATCAAGAAAAAATATGAATACTACGACGCTTCAAAGTTCCAACGGTCTCACGCAATTGTTTGTAAAACACTTAATTGCCTGGCGATATGAGTAACAATAGGCATAGAAATGTGACTATTAGTTTACCGCGTAATGCAAATTCTAAATGGCTTCAATAATGGCTAATCGGTCTTTAAATCCATGTTAATTCAAATTAAACAATGGCTTTCCGTTATCACGGCGAACGTTTAATTCAATGATTCGCTCGTGATTAATCGAGGTAAACTCGACCTCCGTCGCTTTCTTTGTAATCCTTTATAAACAATCACGTTGTCGGATTGTTCGTGTTGGATTCACGAAATATATCAGTATTTTCGAAAATAGTCAACTGTCATGTTCTTTTGTAAAGTTTAGAAGTTTTAAGTTTCACAAGAAAACCCAATCCGAACCGGGATTAGTGAAAGACGGTGGAATGTTCGTTGCGTACGCCGTATTGTTGCGATTAAGCGAGAATGATTGTCAACGGTGAAAACGAGTACACAAAGTTTCCCCATTTCCGCGAGTAAATCTTAAGGGTGGTGAAAAGTCGAAGAAATTGAAAATGTCCGAAGGCGAGGGGAAACGGGCTTCGCCGATACCGGTGGTGACCCATATACAGTGCTGTAACAGCGTAACCAACACGCATTGCCCTGCGCTTCAAGTGACGCCACGAATGTTGCGATCGCCGAGTCACGAGAGCGTCACGACCGATCTTTCCCTCTTCAGCGTCTCGTCAATAGCGAGCGCTAACAGGCTGGTTACTTTTAAGTCTTACACCGACGTGCATCTTGCTGGTCGTGGTCCATCGCCAAAACCAGACTTCCGTCAAATTCAAACTAGCAGGTGTGTTAAATTGTTACTTAACCCATTAGTTACCGATCACGAATATACTGGTTGTTAGGGAAATGTTTAGGATTGCCAATAAGAGTTGTGATATAAAATGACGAATGTACTTTAACACTTCCAATCCGATGGGTGGTATTTACTACCACGACATTTAACTTTTATCACTCCAACCGGTGGTCTCATTGCGAAACGTGGATCAAACACAATGGTAAAAGTGAAATATGTATGAATTAATTTCTTGTTTCTTGATATTATTATATGCTTATTAAATTCATAATGAAACCTCTTTAAAATAAATAAACTTTATTTGAGGCAGCTGGTAATCATTCTGCGATATTCTTGGAGTGATAAGGGATAAATTATCACTATTTCTACTGAAGGTGTCAAAAGACAGCTTTCGAAGTTTTAACTCACAACTATTTTCTCAGTGCAACAATTGAATTTTGGACATTTCTTGTAGTTAATTTTATAATCGTTATTGGAAAAGTCAAAAAATTAATTCAGAATATACGACTAAACTCGGAAAATAATTTTAAGATAAAATTTCAGAAGGTGCCATTTGACACCTTCGATAGAAATAGTGTTAATGAAACAGGAACTGAAATCAAGATTCTTCATAGCGATTGCTCTTCTGCTTTTATAACTCATTCACTAAAATGAAGCTCGTTCGATACATTACCAAGCGCAATAATTTTCAAAACTTTGACAAACTTCGACATGGCAGCCAAAGTGTCAATCGTCACAACCGTCTGACCAAGACACTAAGAGCAAAATGTATTTCGCGCAATGAACTGGTTATAGGCATTTCATGCAGTGAACAATTTCGCATGTTTCAGGCCAGCGGACATACCCGAAATCCTTTGGTTCGAAGAAGAGAATGAGTTGATCCGTAGTTGCGGGTTACTGTCCTCCGCCCTTGGACTTCGTAAAAGCTTTAGTACGAGCGACGTGTCTCAGTTGCCAAGTCCGGACGCTTTAGACACGGCTGGACTGCGATCAGCAGTCTCTGCTTTGACTCTAGACACTGCCCAACGAACTACTCTGCTTTTGGAGCATACCAGACTCGACCATGCTTCGAGGTCTTGCAGCACGTGGGTCGCCGTTGGCGAACCCGTAGCCGTTACATCGCAACTCCCTAGTCCTCACGGTGGAGCTGCACAAGAGCAGCAACGCCAGCAACACCTGTCCACTCAATCAGTTGCGTCTCAGTCAGCGCCTCAGCCTCCACCTGCACCGCCACTACCATCAGCGCCCTTCACAGGAGCAGATCTAGTCAGATCCGTGAACAAAAAAGTTCGGCAAAATTACATACGCAGAAGGTAAACAAAGACGATCATTGTTACTCAACGCTATGTATAAAGTGTGTCGAAATTGTTTAGCCCTGCGTGCAAAATGAAAGAGATCGTTTTCCTACATTGACATCGGGCGTTCGAAGTGTAGCCATTATCGAGTCGTCAATTTGGTGCAGTGGCGGCTCGCGTATAGGCATTGTGGAACTGCAGCACTCCCAATTTCCATTTGATATTATCGATAACATTTAATATGAGTCCTTTTTTCTTTAATTCTTTCTTTATACTTGTACAATATATAATCCTTAAGCTTAATGTCAGTAGTCATCCCCCAGTTTATGAAAACGAAACGAACATTTTAAAACGAAGGCTAAAAGTTTTCTGGAGCAGCACCCCCACTAATTTTAGCTACGAGCCGCCACTGATTTGGTGACATAGGATTCATGTTACAGCGATGTCACGAATCTCGCGTTAAATTCCCTTTTTTGATACTCAATTTTGTAGTTATTTTTCAAGAATTCTTCAATCGCGTTTGCTATGGGTTCTACTGTAATGAGTCAAAGGAAACGTGCCCTACGATAGTCTGAACCTTAGAACCTCAGGCCTAATAAGAATACCCGTGATTCACAGGGAGCGATAGTTTCTAGTAGGTACAGGCATGGTTTGATGAGTGACATTCAAATTGAGAATTTATTATTTCAATACCTGACTCCACAGATTACCTTGACCTTGGGGTTTCAATAGACTTCTTTTTGTAGTTTCGCAAACCGTGAGTACATGTGATCCGTAATATTGAGCAAGTATCGTAACAGACGTAATGAATCTAATGATTCGTCGCGATGTGTTTTTATGTAATACTTAGTTACATCGCAGATGGTAGATAGTAGAGTGTCTTCCGTGGCTTGGTTAATCAACGCGTAAAAAAGAAATGTCTTCAGCCATAGTTGTAGAAACAGTTGATTTTGTCTTCTTTGCTGTGATCGAGTAGAAAAAAAACGATTAAATGTATTTCATTTTTTCATAAACGTATTGGGTCGATGCAACAGTTTCGACGTGTTCTGCACGTGGTGAACAAAAAAATTGTTTCTTCGAAATAAATAACATCTGTTTTCGAGCTATATAACGTGTATAAAGGATATTTGTTTCCTCGTTTTTATTTACTTTTGCTTTAGCCAGCAAACAGTTGAGGACTGTTCTTATTTCTTATAAAAAAACGTCAATGTGTTTGCATCGACGCAATATTTCCAATTTCGGCTGCATCGTGATACTTATGAAGAATGGGAAGTCGTAGAAGAATAGATGAAAATAATATTACTGTACTATTTAATTTTTTCTTTAACAGTTTTTCCCATCTCTTACTAAAGTCGAGATATAATTTGTTCTAATTTCGTGGCGCACTCTGCGTGACCAATATGTTCAATGGTACCAGTTGGACCGTTTCGTCAAAAGTTTATTTTACCACCGTACTACATTAATATTATTTATACCATTATAGTACTATAATATTTTATTAACGCAATATAATATTAATATTACAATATTGTTTCCATTAACAATGAAACATATCAAAGTGACATCCACCTAGAGTGAAAAGAATTTTTGAATAACAAAATCATTTGTGTTTTTATTAAATACTTGATTGGCTTTTTTTCCCTGAAACACAGTAGAACACAATACCAAAGTTTGGCCATTTATATCCTCGATGCCCAGTATAAACGTAGGTTTTCTAAAGTTTGAATCCGACGAGAAAACAGATTACGCCTTACCTAACGAAGTATCTCCCATCAAAATTAGCTTTCCTCCGCACCACTTATGTAGTTCTTTAATTTCAACATTAAAGTTTCAGCCATCTCATATTATAACACGTAACATAATATTTAGTACCTCAGTGACCCTTTTTAGTTACGTTTTTCCAATATTCTATGTAGAAGAACCAATATTCTATGCGTCCAATGAAATATTGCAATCGTGAAGATTGTTATTGAAACAAATGATGGTAGCGATCGTATTTTAGCACTAGAACTGTCACATTCGTCAAAACGGCTAGCTTTAATTTTCTTATCTGCGAACCATTGAAATTATGCAGATGTTTATATCTAATATCACTTTCCAAATTAACCCCTTGCAATCGAGAGGTGACACTCACCATTTGATTTCATACAGTAAAACTAAAAAATTTAATATTCAATATTATACTTCATTAATGCACCAACTTCAGAAATATTGAAATAAAATAGTTTTGTTCCTCAATGTACGTGTGATTTCTCTTCGAGTTAGTTTCACAAAATATTGTTTTTATCTCGTCAAAAAATGTGAAAATATTTCTAGTGAAAAAGTTCCGAGTGCAATGGGTTAATATTTTCGTTTATGTAATCAAAGAAACGTTGTTTGATAACTTAAAAACATGTACTTCTATAGTTTTTACGAAAAGTACTATATAAATCACTTCAAGTTCTAGTGTTAAGATTAGCGAATATCATTTGGGTGATGTTTTTCTTGGACACAGAAAATATGGAAAGCCGCATAAAGATCGGATATTAAAAATGGATCTTTATGATTTGCAGATTATTGACAACGTATCGCGCGTTGGAACGGCTTTCGCAGAGTGAGTTCAACTTGGATCAATTAGAAGCCGCGGCAAGCGCGGCGCAAACCTCCAGCAGTACCTTATTAGTTCCTGGTGCATCGGCCATTACTGGAATCGCTTTGTTAGGGCGAAAAGAACAAAATCATGCTCTGACTATCAAAGACGTAGAAAGAGAACGTGGGAATCAATTGTCGAAATACGAAAGAAACATGATGATCTTTAATTGGCTGCACACTCTTGATGATACTGCTACTGTTGATAGTGTTGAATAAATTAAATCAAATATTTATTATTGAATCTTAAATCAAATAATTTATTACATAAAAGTGTAACCCTTCCGCTATGCAGGACAGTTAAAAAGTGTGTATAGTAAGTCACGAGAAACAGAAGATGCAAGATATTATCGATTTGACGATGCTAAAACCATGTATAGAACTTAATTATTATACGTAAGAGCATATTGTATTAGATTTAAATTAAGTTGAACTTATTCGGCTTGTTGCTGCGATACACGAATGATAGAAGTGTAGAGGGTAGTTTATCAAACTTGCGGACTTAAACGTAGTAATAGGTCCACGGTCTGTTTTAACACGTACAGTGTTAACTTATAGAAAATTTGTATACTGATTTACAATTTATACAGTGAGTGTCACTTGAAATCGTACATATTAATATTCGGAAGACATTTGTTTACAAGCTGCTTTTATAATGTGGTTATAATTTAAATTATTTATACGCAAATGTATTAAAGTATTTTTATTATAATATGTGATAATTTCAAACTCGTTTCGTTTGTACAAAACGAATTAAACGTATTTGGGAATAAGGCACTAATACCTTTAGTCATTGAAAGTTACGTCTCCAATAAAAATACGTTAAAGTATTCGTGTATAAATTATTTTAATTTTAACCATATAATAAAAATAACTCATAAACAAAAACTTTATAAGTATTAATATGGACGAGTAGGAATTGCGCTCACTGTACACGTATACAACGAAAAATTCGAACGGATTCAAACACCGTCCAAAACAAATTTGCGAGCACGTTCGAACGTTCTAATTTGCGAGCCTTCAATCTTCGAAGCAAGCTATCGACGTTCTCCGTTCCTTGCAGCCCTGAACTCCATCAAGCAATCGACATACGGGTGATAATATACATACTATTAAAGATGTCGATAGTTGACTGCCAAACCAAGTCTCGGAGGCTTTCGACTTCGAATATGTTTGGACGTCTCTTACGAACTTCCGTAAGGGTTGAAGCTTTTTTAAAAGCTCGCAAGCATTTCTGTTCGAACCCATTGGAATTGTTCGTTATATACACGCATAGGATTCTGGAGCAACGTTTCTCAAGCTGTGGGTCACGCTAAACTTTTTAGGGGCTGCGCTAACCCTTTGAGGGTATACGTCGTCATACCGACAACATGAAGTTCTCATACCTAGGATAAAAAATTGCAAACAAATAATTTAATTATTTATATACCGATCTTCTGTTGTTTAACAGTTATACATCTAACTTTTGAATAGTAGAAAAGAAGGAAAGTAGGTATCAATCTTTTGTTTTGTACTTTCCTTCTTTTCTAGTATTCAAGAGTTTGATATATCATTTAACTTCCTCCATTGAACGTTTTAAATTCGTTAACAAATTTTGGGTCGTAAAGGATTCAGTTTTGATAGACCACGAAAATATAAGTGCTGTTTTACTTCAAACCGAGGAAAGCGATTAAACAAAGGATTTGCAGGAAATATTCGTAGAACTTCTTGCAAGTTTGAAGAATACTACCCGGTGTTCAAAGGGTTCATTTACTATGCTTTGGAAAGCGTTGCATGATAAACATTTGGGTTATTACACGCAAATGTGTCAATTGGCATAGCAAGATGCCGGAGAAACGTTGTTCTAAATCGAAAAGGGGTCCGACATTTCAATCCGAGATTTCAATCCGAGATCTTGTGATTCGTTGACTGGCCAGTCGTGCTTTAACCACTACGACCACAGTGTCCTTCAGACCTCTTAGCTGTTCGAGTGTCACGTGTCATATCAGAAATCTGGTGGAAAGTGCCAAGCGGCGCGAACGCGTCTTTTCTTATTGCATGCAAGAAAGTGCCAAAACGGCGCAGTCGTGCTGTTTTATATGTTTATAACAACGGTCACGGTTTCGACGAGTAAGAGAAATTTAGCATTCGTACAGATTACAAGAACAAATATTTCAGTTTAGTTCCCGAGATTCCTTGGAAGGTAGGCTGGTTTCTGATCCCTGTGAGTTATTTCGTTTGAACTCCTCTGGACCTCGTCACACTCGAACCAAACACTACTTTAAGCTTTCGTACACTATTTTCGTAAACTATTCGTTATACAAAAATGACGACTGGAACGATAGTTTTGAAGAGAAGTGAATTTTGGATATTGTTAGTCTCGGAACTACGAAACGGATTATTTCGTGGTAGAGCGACTGAAGGGTTGTTTACGTAATGACAATGAGCGGTGATGCTTAGGACCATTTAAATTCTTATTAATTTTTCTAGATATTGTTTTTAAATATAGGTAACTTTATGGAATCTGTTGATATTTTTGTTAATACGTTGAATGCCATGTGGTCACCGGTGACCCTCGCCTAAATTCAATTACTGCAATTTCCTCAATTAAACGATAATTATTTGAAAACATTCCTATATTGTAAATAATACTACCTAATATGGTGACATGCGATAAACTTGCGGTAATAACAACGCGATTCAATTAAATAATTTAATATTGTATTTTCTTCATTTCGTATATTCTGCACTTTAAAATCGTGCGGCATTCAACGTGTTAAATATAATTTAGTCAGCCAATAACTAAAGCTAGTTATGGCAAATAAGAAGAAAAGAAAAGAATAAGAATTGCTTATCATCTTTTCTTTTTCTTTTTATTTGCCATAACCATTTTTATACTTTCAGGTTCTTTACGTTTCACTATTATATATTTTAACTTGCATCAACGTTACTAGATTTTATTAAAATTTAATGTTCCACTTTAATCCTTTCATTAGATACAATATGTACGAAATATCTCGCTTACACAAGTGATAGATACAATGATATAGACGAGATATATCGAGTATTACTTATTATTTATACGAATTATTTAATTGTAAAAACTCTAAGTAAATAATCAATTCATAAGACACTATATCGTAGATAGAAGAATCCTAAAGACTACAAATAAAAAGTGCTGTATATTCGCAGTAAATGAATTTCCTTGTTCTGATATCGTACATTTATTCGTACAGCGAATAGTTTACGAGCAATTTCAAGCCGTTAAGTTAAACGAATTACTCTACGTATTATAAAACTATTACGGTACCATTCCGTTTAAAAAACTATTAACGATAAGGTTAAAAATGAAGAAAACTAATCGCGGAATAGAAACTTCATTTACTTGAAATTCGTATAAATGCAAATTACGTTCTATACAAGTTTTGCACAATAGAATCCAAGAGAGGCGAGATCTTCTGTTTTTCGGGACTCGTTCCAATTCACTGCGACTAGGAAAATTACACGATTTTTGTAAAATAAATCACAGAGACTTTTAAGTTAGAACACATTAAACCTCTGTTGTAAGTAAACGATAATTTCACCTGCAATCTCACCGGGCAATGTACATTCTTGTATTTACTCTGAGCAATATTATTCCGTTTCTTTTAAGTTACCACGAGTTATAATTGATTATAATTAGTCACGTAAATGTAACGATGAACTATAATTGGTTACAACTTTTCTTACACATAATATACATATGAATATATATATATATATATATATATATATATTATATATAATATAAAAACAGGATGCATAGAAGTGTATTTCACTCTATTTTGTGCATCCTAGTGCACAAGGTGATTGTATACTCATCATAGCGCGGTGCGGTTTGACTCAAGTTGGAATGCTGGTCGATTTTCCACGTGAAATGAGCCGCTGCTTGTTATATGACTAAATATTAAAAAAACTCGTTGCGATTTGTGTAATTTAGATGTGGTTTAAACGTTAACAGGTAGACGATTTGTAACAACATACAGAATTTAATATAATGATTACGTACAAGCAACACCAGCGTTCTGGACTGTATTGCAATGTGTTTCATGTGACGTGTGACCATGGTCCCGTGACCGTCTAGTCGTGTCTAAAAGTATGATGTGGAATGCGAGATACGTTTTTAATATGGATATTGATATTTTCCTAGAAGTGTATTGTATTTAGTGGTGTAGGGCATACAGATCGTAAAACATCTAACTGCTTGCCTTATAAATTAATTTCTAAAATTTAACCAGAACGACCGTTTTTTTATTCGTGTTTTTCATGGTCCCTGATAAAAAAATTAAGGCCATCATTGATATTACTTTCCAGAAGATCAACAGTGAATCAGCAACCTGATTCTTGCCTGGTCGTTTTGTTATATTAATTTTTTATAACTCAGGTTTTATTTCTTTGCTTCACTCTTGGTCTCAACCCCTTGTACTTCAGAATCGCCTCTCAGTCGACAATTGATTTGACACAGCAAACGTGTAAAGTTTGATATTTAATATTAAACTTTGTATAATGCATCGATACATGAAATATTGAAATAAAATAGTTGTGTTCCTCAATTTATGTGCGATTTCCGATCAAGTTAGTTTCAGAAAATGTCGTCAGTCTCATTAGAAAATGTTGAGTAGTTCCAGTGAAACACTTCTGAAGTACAAAGGGTTAATACTACGACGAAGAAATTATTATTAAATTACCTTCTAGACTTCCAATATGATTACCGTGAACAATGTGGCGTAAAAGCTATGATGGCCCTAATTTTTTTATTAGGAACTCTAGTATTCGAATATGTTACGGAAATATATTCACGGAAAAGGCCAAATCAATCATAATATGCAAACAATAAAGCCACCAGAAATACCTAAGTTATTACCCTAAGTCAACTCGGCTTAATAATTTTTAGTACAAAAAAAATTCCGACTACACTCGGGATAAAAAGGCAAGCGGCTAATGATTGCATTTTTCTGTTGCTATCGTCCTATGTACCGCAGAATATTGGGGGGAAGAAGCATTCCTGATTTCCTTTCATATTATCTGAGACTTTTGGAACTTAACCCTTTCCGCTTCGATGCAATTATGAAAAATTTTGCAATAAAGTACCATTTAATTTGAGTAAGCCACTGCATAATATAAAGTGTTAGAAGGAAAGCAACATATTTAATTTTAAGGTTCATATATTTTGTAAATTGAAAGTACATTGGTTTGAATATAACTGTAATTTATTATGAAAGATCA